GAGAAGATACAGGTGCCAAACTAAGACAGTTGAGAGGTCTGCAGCCCCCATGGAAGTAGGAGCTACACATCAACATTTGGCATTAAGCTAACTCAGAAGGAAAGAAGGGGAAGCCTTTAATTAAATCAGTGAAATGGAATGGTACGGCAGGGTAATTACAACAGGGATTGATTTGCATGATGCACAAAGCTCTTCAGTGAGGACACTGCTCTACTTTGTACATGCACACTGAGCCTTTCTGTTACAGTCCAGTGACGGATGGCCAAAGCTTCAATGACAACGTGATCATGGAGCCTTTAGTTCTTGGTTTGAGATCGGAGGGGGCAGGGAAGCAACAAGGCACAGCACTAGACAACTAGGCATTATACGTTACTAAGAGGATCCAAATACCAATGGCCCAGGGGTTATGGGCAGGCAACATTTGGCAGTAGATTTAGAAAGGAGGCATTGACAAAGGCGTATGCTAAGACTGTAGGGGGCAAGTTTTTTTGGCAGGCATGCCACAAATTAAGCACTGTGTCCTCCCGAGAGCCACTCCAATCCCCTTCCCCTACCTGATCTGCTGTTCTATTTTCTGCTCCCTGCCCTATTTGCCACTGTGGTGCCTGCCCTCTCCCTGATCTGGCACATGCCACAGCTGCCTGGGCCACAGGTTGGCCACCCCATAATATGAGACCATTTATTGGGCAAGAAGTGTGATGGTTGAGGGCAAACCAAATCTGGGTGAGTCAAGTACATTTGGATGAGCCAGTTGGTCGCTGGAACTTTGAGACAGTGCTGCACCATCAAATATTTATCACATTTGCATCCAAAACTGTTTGCTAAGCACCAGCTGGCTTAACAGAGAACTGTGATGCTTACATTTCTTAACCACTTGGGTAACATAGCATGTGTAGAGTAAATCACACCTCATGTTCCTCCAAGCACCTGCTGCTTTCCCCGCATGCCTACCCATCTCCAGCACTGAAAAGAACACTACTTGAAAAAAAAATTTTTTTTTTAAAAACGAATGACTTCAGCAAGCCAAACCCCAAAAACTGCAATTCAGGAGCACCAGGAGTAATGGATCATCATCAACCTGGTGCTACCGGGGAGCTAACATACAAGAGGATCTGGCCTTTGTCTTTAAGGAGCTTTAGGTCATAGGCAGCCAAAGCAGATTCAGTAGCTGATTTCACTGCAACGTGGCTGGGTGTTATATTAAGGTCATAGTGTTTCATGGAAGTGTAGATGCAAATCCCAGCTGCAAAACCTGACAGCTTGGACTGTCCAAACACCAAAAGCAAGATGGACCAGATGACTTCGCCAAGATGTTTTCTGTGTGCTTTGTGCCTTCACCTTTAAAGGGGACTATTTAATAGAAGCAACAGATTCATAAGCAGTAGGTTTCTAGTTTCCATCCCAAACTTTCCAAATACAGGCAGCGTCCACCAAAAGATCCACGCAGCATAGCTTCATTTTAGCCACAGCATCATTTCCTCCCCTGCCCTCCTGCCAAGCTGGGCAAAAGGCCTGTTTGGATTTGCAGCTTTTAGAAAATGCTAAAAACAGAAGCATCTCACATACTCCAAGTCCTAGAGAAAAGGGACAAGGAGCCTTTCCTCCGCAGCTGGGAAGTGCTGATGTGGCTGAAGTTACATCATGCTCTGTGGAATGTCTGTGCAGGGAGAACTCAAGGGAAGAAGAGAGAGTTAAAATTAGAAGCCAGAATCAGGGACACCTTTACTGCTCATTAAAAGCATGCAAATGCCTTTGTTTTGAATGCAAACTGAGTTAATGCAAACTAATGGAAGCTGGATCTAAATCGCTCCGGGCAAATATTTCCCCCGCAACACACACACACTCCTCATTGTGCCCCTCCATTGCCCGGGTGGATTTCTGGATCATTCCCTGCCAGCTCCTCCTTCCCCAGGGAGATGCTACAGGTCAGGTCTACAGCCAACAAGTATGCAGTGCAGCTCAAGAGGAGTAGGGCTGCACAAATGACTGTTGTACTCTCCTGATCCATGGGCCAATTAAGAGATCTCCTCATGCAAATTACAACAGCCTCAAGGCTGCTGTAAATTATGCCAGTTGCTAACATGGTTAAGTATAGGATATAAAAGAGCAGGGGGCAAGGAAGCCCCAGGCATATTCCCCTTTCCCCTGACCACATCCTTATACTGGCAGCAGAGTAATGGGTTGTGTAGAAGCCCTTGATTCAGCTCAGTGCCACTAGTGCATTCCCCTACGTTGCAGCAATCCTCCCACGACCAGCCAGACCAACTCCCTAGGCTGTTCCACACCAGCAGCATCACTACACTGCACAATGTGAGGCTTGGCAGTGTCCAGCCTGTATACTTTGCCTTAATCCTCCCCAGAGGTAGCTGCATTGCTTCCAGGCTAATAAGGTAAATGACAAGCACACATCTCCTATTGACTGATCTGGCTGAAGATGAGTTACAAGTCTAAGATAAAGCCAAGTCCTACACATGGCCACAAATCCAGGAGCACAGAGAGTATTTTCTAAGCCTAGAGTCAACAACCAGGACCCTTGATGTGTCCGAGACTCAGCCTCCTGTTTTCTGTTATAGCATAAACTAAGCTTGATGATTCATCAAGATGGAACTAGCAATCTGCAGGCACGTCTGCAGGTTCATTAATGTGCTTTTGCTACCATGCATTAAATTTGGTACCTCTAGTGTAAGGCACCAAATAAATGTGCATTAGGCTGCCCTAATGTGCAGTAGCCAAAGTGCCCACTTCTTTAGTGATGCTTAATGGGCAGTAACCTATCTTTACTCTGCCTTAGTGTATTAGCATGGTTTTTGATATGATGCTTTAATGCACAGTAAAATAGACTACTGCGCATTAAAGCACACATGTAGACATGCCTAGTTTCTCCAAGAAAGAAATAATTGTTGCTTTGTGGAGCAGA